TGACATATGAGGTCTTATATGACCAAGATCGACACTAATCCGTGAAGATGGACTCTGGGGAGGTAAATTACATTTTTATTATTTTTAATCATTTCAAATTTTCAATGTTATTACTATTACTAATCATTTAAATTGTTTAATATATGCAAGCCTCGAGTATTACTATTGTTGATCATACTCGTGCACATTCGAGTTGGGATTTGACGAATTTATAGGTCCAATATTATGTTTGTCAAGCAGGCTTTTTTGAATGTTCACAAATAAAATGGGTAAGACTCAATTGGTCTCTCTTAACGGCATTAATTGAACAATGGAGGCCCGTGACAGATACATCCACATGCATCAAGGATAGTCGACTATTACTCTAAGGATGTAGAGATTTTACTTAGCCTCAAAGTGGATGGAGATGTTGTTACATGTACCTGATGTGGTGTTTGTGAATATGTCGAGATTGCAAGTGCACAATTAAGTTGTAGTATAGAAAAATGTCGAATCCCACGAGGAAGATGTTATAGGAATTAATCAAAAGTGATTCTTAAGTTATGTGTGCGACAATTAGGAGTGATAAATGTGTGATTGTGGAGAGATAAAGAGAGTGGATGTGATAATATGTAAATAAAAACAAAACTAAATTGAGAGTGGAGAATAAAAGATGAAGAAAATAAAGAAAATTAAACTAAGAAACAAATAAGAGAAAAATCAAGAATAAAGAGGAAAATCAAAAAAAGTAGAAGATAGATGATTCAATTAGAGATACAAGAAATCTAGAATTAAATCTACTAGCCAATTTCAATTATAAATTATGGATTATCCTTTTTTTTTATCACATTTTACTTTAGATTTATTAAGCATAGACTGTCAAACTATTTAAAGAAAGCATAACCTATCAAATTATCATCTAAGCAAAATTAACATTCATAAAAAGAACAACAACTAGATAGTAATTCTAGATTCCTCCTACCAATTAGTTCTCTAATTGATTATCCCAAACATGATCATTTTAAGCGTAAGAGAGTAATTCACAATTCATAAAAGATATTAGACTAGTTTCATGCAATTCTAAAACTCCTACAAGAATTAGTTTAACATATTAGAAAATAAAAATAAAGAAACAAAAGGGGGAGAATAAAAATAAAAAACTAACTCCAAAGAGGGTTTTAGCCTCTAAGTAAGAGAATGAAAATAAAAACTAACTCTAAAGAGGACTCTAAGCCTCTAAGTGAGAGAATGAAAGAAAAAGAATGAACAAAAATAAAAACTAATTCCCAAGGGGATTTTACCCTCTTGGCGAATAGTGTACGAAAATAAAATCTAAACTATGCAAGAGAATAAATCTATACTACAAAATAATTGTAAGAAATAAAGATATGAAAGTAAATCTACTCTACAATGCATGAAAATAAATCTAATTCAAGAGAGTTTTAGCCTCTTGATGAAGGCAAATCTTCGTCTTCATATCATCTTCATCTTCATCTTCATCATCAAATAAAGAGAAGAAAAAGAAAAATATGAAGAGGTAAAAAATTATTTTGTTAATTGCAACAAAAAGTTATAATTTTGGAAGGTCTTCTCAATTAAGAGTAACCCTCCACTCCAAATGGAGTTTTTACAAAAATTTTCACGCTCAAACCCCACATCCTCTATCTCTATTTATAGCCTACAACAATGAATGAGAACCATTGAATTTTACTTGGGCTCCAAAGATCAAATCTTAGCCATAAAATGAGTTTGTTATGGATCAATTGGCCGGCCAATCGGTTGACCAATCGGTTGGCCAACCGATTGGCCAATTGGTTAGCTGACCGATTAGAATTCAAAAATTCTAAAAATACATTTAGCTCTGTCTCGTCAAAATAGGCGATTTTTATATATTATATATTAAATTCCGCCTTCCGAATTAAGAGATATTGCCATTTTTTATGGCTAACATCTTGAACATGATTTTCATTTGATTTCTTTTCATATTTGATCCTTGTTTCTTCGACTTTTGCAGTTTGCTTTGCTTAATCTCATGCTTCAATAAAAGGTTAAAAATAAGGAAATTTGAGCTCTTTTTGTGCTTTTGTTCATTAATTCTTTATTAACATGTAAATTAAGATAAAACATGTTTATTAGTGATATTTTTATTTAAACAAAATAGATAATGAGGTTAAAAATATAATAAAAATGTGATTATCAGTACCGATGACTTTAACTGGATAGGAGTGTGTGAACGATTGCTGGGTCAAGCTCCTAATATGAAGGATAGTAAGATCAAGCTCGAGTGGTTACGAAATAATTATATGAATGTACCGATCGATGCAACTGATGAGATCGTCAAGAGCTATGCTCATGTGTATATACTCCATATGATTGGTACCATTCTATTTCTGGATTCCACTAAGGATTCAGTGCATGTTAGAAGGTTGCCACATCTTGAGGATCTTGAGGAGTGTGGGGAATTATCTTAGGGGAGTGCAGTGTTAGCTTATCTCTATTGGGAGATGACAAAAGTGACATTCGTGCAAAATAAAGAATTCAAATGTTGCCTCACTTTGTTGCAAATATGGTCACAGGAGTGATGATATTTGGGAACACCAGATTTGAGGAGACTCGCGCTCTCGATGATTAGATTCTGTGAGGATGCAGGTATATCAGTTTGTAATAGATATGATTACATATAATTTTATATATTTATTTCAATTTATACTAAACCTTTGTATATCAAATAGATGGAATGTTTCTAGATATTGGCAATCTCCCTAAAGAGTCATGAAAACTTTTATAGGAACGAGCTTGATCAAATGGAGGATGAACATGTACAAATTCATAATATCTAGCTATATTCAATCAATACATCATTTGTTACTAATATGTAAATTTACGTAATCTTCTTTATAGGTCAAGTGGATGCCCTATGAACTGGTTTTAGCTTCACTACCAGATATTTACAGAGATGGTGAAGATATATGGCATGCCCGAGTATCAATTATATGTTTTGAGATTGTCGAAATGCACATGCCCGATCATGTGCTCCGACAATTTAGATTAAAATAATATATTCCAGATCCTCTAGAAAGAATAAAGCAAAATCTCTGAAAAGGAGCACATCACCAAAATTGAGAGATAATTCGTCATGCTTACATTGAGAATTGAGAGTTGAGGGAGAATGATGTAGTGATGGAGAGGGCTGACGCACTGAACTAGATGTGTACTTACAGTGGTATTGGGGGATTACTCACTGATTGATATTTTGGGAGAACAAAGTACCTAAGGAGTACATATCGAGAGGTCCAATTGAGAGAGAGTTGGTAAGTGTATAAGCAAAATATACAACTATTTTGTGATTATTATTTTTATTATAGGTACAAGAACTCAATGAGGTTGCTTCTATTGCACATGATGCATTGAGATCAACTACCAAGCGAAGGGCGAGGAATGCATTTGTTCACACCATAGGAAAGATTCAGTCCGCTCTTAGAAAGACACATCATGCAAATCATGATGGACGTGAGGAACGACTCATATGGTATGAGCATCGACGAGTTCGAGGACACACGAGAGCGAGCTCAAGTCGTGCACGTGATGAAGCTGGAGGCTCACAGCAAGGTCAATCCGGATGTTCACAGCAGGTTCAAGTTGACGAGGATATCATGCGCTCACAAGTTCACACACAACTGGACGTTGAGATCATTCAAGCTCATGTTGAAGGCGAACGGGAAAGGGGGAGAGGAAGAAGAGGCAGAGGGAGAGGGAGAGCGAGAGGAAAGAGAGTTCTAAATATTTGCTAAATTTAGATATACTTCATATGATATTTATGTTTGAAATGCTATGATGTTTATGTTTGAAATGCTATCGTGACTTGATTATGGTTGGATTTTTAGTAAGTGAACTAAATATTATGTTTTGGTTAGAGATTGTTATAGATGTAATAATTATATAAAGATATGTGTTTATTTGTATTTTGAATTTGATTATGGATTGATAAATGTGTAGCAAGAGAGTTTGTGTTAAACTTGACAATTTTAGTCAATGATTGATATATGTTAGCATGAGATTAGATTTTCAAGCAAGTGTGGGATGGAGGGTCTCTGCCAAATGATCGGGGTTGGGAACCCCGACCATTTTGTGCGAGGCAATCCCATCGAAGTGGGTTCTGCCAAACGGTTAGGGTTGGGAACCCCGACAAAATTAGTCGGGGTTCGTAGCCCCAACTTGTTTAGGTCCCCTAACCACGCAAGTACCGTTGGAGTGTCCCTAATTAGTCGAGATTGGCAACCCTGACTAATTAGGAAGTATTTTTTTTAAAATCGATCTAGTTTCTGACAATAATGCTAACATGACCAGAAACTGGGTCGATTTTTGAAATTAAAACTAGAGTGGATAGATTTTTTTTTTAAATTTAGGTTAAGACTATTATGAAAATTTCTTCGTTATAAATACCTTATTGGTCAAGGTCAAGTAGGACTACTTTAACTGCCCATTCGCTAATTTAGTCGGTATTAATTAATCGATTGACCATTTTCTCCTCCCCAAAAACCCTGAACCTGAATCCATCGAGCGTTTGTCTCCTCTGATCCAATGCCGATCGTTCCCGCCGCCGCTGCCACCGCCTCCCTTTATTCTCCTCCCCCCTCTCAAAACCTTAGAAACCCCAAAACCCTAATCTCCTGCTCCTCCTCCTCATCATCAGAACCCCTCACAATCCCCAACACCGCCAACATCACAATCCCTCAATCCCTCCCAAACCCTAAGCTCTCCGACTACTACGTCCTTCGGCCGCCGCCGACCCCTCGCCGGAGCGCCACTCCCTCGACGACATCGTTTACCGCAGCAAATCCGGCGGCCTCCTCGACGTCCGCCACGACATCGAAGCCCTGAAACAGTTCCCCCCGGCATACTGGAAAAAGCTCTTTCACGACCGAGTGAGAGGCACCGAGTGGCCCTATGGATCGGGGGTTTGGTGCTACAAGGAGCTCGTGCTGCCGGAGATAAATGAAGATGACATCGTGTCAATGTTCGAGGGGAACTCGAACTGTTTCTGGGCGAAGAGGTTAGGATTGGAGTATTTTGGGGGGATGAATGAGTTGTGGGTTAAGCATTGTGGGATCTCACATACGGGGTCGTTTAAGGATCTCGGGATGACTGTTCTTGTTTCTCAGGTATATAACATTGATGTTTTTATTGATTAATAGGTGTAGTACTCGATCAAGTTTGTGATTTTGAAGTTTGCAGGACACTCTTGTGGGTGATGATTGAAATTTTAGGATTATTTTTTGATAATTCTCTTTTGGACATAAGAATCTGAAATTAGTCTTTAGGCACTTAGCCATAGCTCTATGTGTGAGATGTATATCCTTTTAACAGAATTACACTGATGACTCGCCATTCTTTTGGTAAAAGAAAAAAAGGCAAACAAGCAAATAGGGCAAGTTGGGCATGGCTTTGAAATTGAACACACTTTTCTCTTGTGAGTAAGTATGGAGTCTTGAGCTCGTAAACCTCAGCCGAAATCTATGCTAAAAATGGTTGTTTGCATCAGAAACAACTATCTCCCCGATTCCATAAAGATTACACATCATAGTATACAAAAAGGGAAAAAAATCCTAAAACAAGACCAACAACACTAATTTCCTAGGAAACATCCAAACAAATAAAAAATGAAAGGGATCAGACATCAACTTGGAGCTCAATCTAACACTTAAGTTGCATGGAAACGGGTACAAGTACAGGTACAAGCAAGGTTTTAAATGTCGGCCGACATGTCAGACATGTCGGCCGACATATCGGTTTGAGGGCTTGACCAACACGACATGGACGTTTTCAACTCGTATGTCGGTTTTCAGGGCCAAATCGAAAATATCAGGGTCATATCGGGCATATCGGCCTATTTTTTAGCTTTGAAAAATCGGCCGGTATGGTACTTTTTTTTAAGATCTGTTTTTTGTTATCGGGTTTGGGTTTAGTGATAAATACCCAAACCCGTTTGACCCGTTCTCATGTTTAAGGGTTTCTTATGAACCCGATAAAAAGAATGTATGAACCCAAATCCATATATTATTTACTTTTTTATATGTTTAGTCTATAGAATTTATAAAGTATGCTTATATTGAATTTATGAATGCTTAGATTACATTTAGGATATGATATTATACATATGCGCACTACCCGATATGGCAATCCGATATTTAGTCAATGTCCCCTGATATATCCCCGATTTCCGCTATCCGACATGGATTTCAGCCATCCGACATGAACCCGATATCCGACATTTAAAACCTTAGATAAAAGTGCGGGTAAGGGTACGGGACACAACAAAACTGTAAAATGTGGGGTACGGGGACACGACTACCTATATATATTAAATTAATAATGTATATGAGATAATTTTTTCTGCTTCACGTGTCATTAGAATTAAAATTCCAATCACATTTTAAAGTTTCTTTTATCATATTGATATCATAAATTGGAAACTACTCATTTTTTTTACTAGACATCCAAACAACCCATTAACTATATAGTTTTAAACTTGGGTATGGATTGAAATGAACCTGACCCATATCTAACTAGTTTTAAGAAACATATGTGAAGTGTAAGCTATACATCCAGGAAGTCTTTGACAAGTGTTTTAAATTAACACATATATCGTATAATTGAGTACATGTTGTGACAAGTGTTTTAAATTAACACATATATCGTATAATTGAGTACATGTTGTAATAAATGCATGCATATATCCAAGAAGTGTCCTCGTATAATTGAGTACATGTTGTAATAAATGCATGCATATATCCAAGAAGTGTCCATGAAGTTTGGATACGGGAAAGTGTTGGTTACGTGTTTGATACGGGTACGACTTCATTATAGAAGTACCCAGGTAACATAGATCTAACATGATTGGGCTCTCAGCTTGTCCACCAACAGTTTTAGTACCCATTCTCCCTGTGGTAGAGTTCATCCTCCCTCCATTAGGCATTAGTGCCATCTACATCACCAGATCCATGACTTGATTGACGATCATGGCGTCCATAACAAATATTTATTGAGCTTTGCTTGTCAAATTTCCTAACCAAAGAGATACCAAGTGATTAATTCACATCAGAAGTTCAAGAGAATGTTTTGATTTAATAGAGAAAAGTTTTTCATTAAGTTATTGCCAAATTAACAAAACTAAAGCGCTGGAATAGAGATCCCAGATCAATTTTTTCTCCCAGTGAAATTGAACAAAATTCAATCGAATCTTTTTCAAGAATTATGTATGAACCAAGAAAGAACTATAAATATCGATTCACAGATTTTCATTATCTCTATTACAGCTTGGAATGTAAGCTCAAGCTTAATTACCTTGTTTCAATGGTTTAGTACGTGGTCTGGTTTGTTATTTTTGATATTTGTAGTAAAATTTTTCTTAAGTAAATAATTCAATTTTCTATTAGTTTTTGGATTATCCTTTTTAGATATAAGAACTGAAACTTAATATATGCGTAAAGCTTGGTGGTTTGCTTTGAGATATTTGTAGGCCACAGATCTATTTGGTGGGTTACGTATTTTAGAAACCAAATTAATTTGTATTAATTCTTTCTAAACTCTGTAAGTTAGTTTTATAAATTTGCACTAATTCTGATGGCATCGTCACATGCTTGGTTGTGAGTGGAATTTGTTATAATTTATTTACTCAATGTATTTGAGTCAGGTTTACATGAAAGCCATTTCTAACAATAAGTTTGCCTACATGATTAAAATTTTTGATGCTCTTAAATGTAATAGTTTAGTTTAATCCTCCACTCTAGGGACGCATTATAGAATGCCTATGTAGAAAGACAATTTATTTTAAATATGGAAACTTATAAAATTACAAGTATATATCAAAAGTAAATAATTGTTGCCTTGTGAGCCTTGGCGCAATGGTAAGATTGATGCTCATGACCTTGAGGTCACATGTTTGAGTCTCAAAAACAGCCTCTTTACAAGCGAGGTAAGGCTGCATGCATCTCACCTTCCACAGACTGCACAACAGTGGGAGCGTGTGCTCAGCCACTCTTTTTATATCAAGAATGTTCTTCTGTTTGTTTTTGTTGTTTATATTTATTTATTTATTTTTGTCCTATTTAATAATAGTTTAACTATTGTGTTGTTATTATCTTCTAGTTTGAGAGAGTCATTCTCTATGATGGAGCTTTGAGATTTGAAATTATCCATTAGTTGTGGAAAAAAACTTGCTGCAGAAGCATGGATTACCTACTTTTTTATTATTCATATACTCTAGAGTTATCCCATTGTTTCCTGGTGTCCTACTGCTAGGAGACTGCCATGTTCCATGTTCATGACCATGCTTCTCATGTTCATGTTAAATAGAAAATTGTTCTTTTTTTTTGTTTTTTTTGGGGGGGG